ATCTTAATTTTAGATTATGAAAAAAGAAATAACATAAGTTTTATTAAAAAATAGTTATTATTAAAATAATACAAATGCGTTTAAAATTACGCAGCTAACATTTGAGGTCTAATTTTAAAAATACCTAATCATGCCATTTTTACAAAACTTGACTTTCAGCGTAATTTGAGTCGCAGAATCGAACTATGGCAAAACTATTAGCATGTTATATCAGAGAATTTCCGATTTTGTTTCAGAATACATATGTTCGAACAATGCTATGTATCAAGAATGACCAACTGTTGTATATATGTGATCAACTTCTTTTCTTAATGGGCCCACCAGCGACCGAGCGGTAAAGTCGCTGAACACTGGTAGTTCGGTCCGAGGTTCGAATCCCGCGAACGGGCTGGCTGCATGGGTGTTCTCGTATTTTTCTCCCATGTGTAACGTGTATAGGAGCCAGTTTCTCTTAGAAAGTCTTCCACGAAGGTATCCCTCCTCTTAGGCAGATAGCCCTCGAGGCTTTGCCATAATCACACACATTTCTTTTCTTAATGTATCGAAATCTACCTATTAAAATACCGACATTTAACACATTTAAACTCGGGTTTTGGATACTAAAAAGTGATGATGAAAGAGGGGGGTATTACATCAAAATTGAAGTTCATGAGTATTAAATATTTGCTGAAACGTTTTCCTATACATTTTTATCTATTGAAACCATTTTTATCTCAGTTATTATATTAAGAAATCACTGCAGAAATTTGCTTTTACTTAGCCTCCTAATACTGGTATGCAATAATTGCTTTCCTTCATTTTAAGCGGCAAATAAGAAAGCGTTTGATAGAACTTCTTCGATTGAAATTAACAGTTTTGAACACTTTGCCGATTATTTGTTTTGTACGTAATATTTGTATGGTTGACACTAGTTTGTTAATTATTTAATGTAGCTAAAAAAATGCTTGCAGAATCGTCATCATTTCGGCATTTTACAGTTATCAATCCATTTATGCAGACTATCATTGATCCCATTCTATCTGTTGCTATTGAAACTAATTCAAAAAGTGGTAATTTCAAATTAGTGTATTTACACTTCGAGTTCTTTCTTTCGAAGAATCAAAGAAATCATATTTGACATTTGTGCTTTAGATGTATAATATTTAAAACATTACGAATAAATATAAGCAATTTTTCAGTATAACTTATGCGTACGAATGATTCATCATATTAAAATGAAAAATAAGGATGTCTGTGAATGTCATTTCATTATCGTTCCTTTATGTTTTCATTCATTTTTTTCACTCCTCCGCATTACGATATTCTGATAGAATTGCAGGCCGTTAATTGCAACAATAACTTGAGTCTTGTTCATAAAATCATTAAAAATAAATCTGACATTTAAAAGAAAGTTTCCTAGTTTCTTTTATAAATTCTCGATTGAAAATTATCTAAACTTTTTGAAACAAAATATAGCTGCAACAGTCACTGCATGTAGTTTCATAGGCTTTTTAAAAACATGTTGTTGAGCTTTTGATTGAACTTTAAGACCCCATATTTTACTTTTTATCAAAAAATTGTTTTGTTCATAGTTTGTTTGGTACTTCTTATATCAAGTTACCAGAATCATCTATCCCTTTCTAGTTAGTTTGCCCTTTCTAGGAACGGCTACAGAGACACTAAATATTAAACAAAGTCATTTATCCTTCATCATTACAAGAGAGCATTCACGTCCCCATTCTTCATGAAGATGATAAGTTTTCGCATTTTGTGTTTATTGCTAATGTAATACGTACTAAAATTCAAAAGAAGTATATAAGTATAGTTTCATTTCTAACCACAGAAAGAAATTGCTTACATTTTTAACAGCAAGTAGTGTTAAGAAAAACTGACACGTTTTTTAGAAATGCTAATACGATGTTAACCCTATGAATACTAAACCCCGATGAAAACAAAAGAGAAAACGCAGAAAGCCAACTTATATATTGTTACATCGATGATTAAAACACACCGAACAGAGGAGTTCGTTAAATGGCAGGTGGATGACAGGTGACGAAAGGCGCCGTTCTTCATCTCTCTGGACGTTTGGCGCGGAAAATGATTTTTCAGCATCAGCTCTGATACTAAAAGAACTGCGAATATTTATCATTACGACCAAAAATCACTTGTGATCGACTTGCTGACAGTTCCTGCTATATATAAATCTAAACGGCAGTTGAATAAGGTGGGAGATTTGAGTTTTCACTCTATACTTAGGTAGTACACTTGAATTGATAAAATGTTTAGAATGAAACAGAATTATCAACTAAAAAATATACATAGCTTACAAGTACGAAGTGGTCCTGCCTTTACTAACAATGAACACCATAAACGGCTTTATCCAGTCATGAGATTTTTTGTCACTTGGTCTATATTAGTTTATAATTTAAGATATTTTGCTTCCTTACTTTCTTTAATAAAGTAACTGCCATCTTAATGAATGTAAGTTTATAAAAATATAGACTAAAATAAGTAGATGTATTAATTTAGCTTATAAAGGCTGTTTAAATACATATCTTCGAGACGGTCCGGGCCACTCAGAGGGTTAAAACATTTGTGCAGATATTTTTAATTTGTGCCAAATCTGAGAGTTTTTCAAATGTTTGCAAAACATTTAAGTGCATTGTTTTGCCGAAATTCGTATGACTTACAACATCTGTGAAATGTAGCGGTTCTAAAGTTTAGTGAAAAACCGCGTATAAGTGTTATATTATCATAAACATGTACATAACCCTACAGAGTGACCACCATTAAGTGATGGCTCCCAAATCTGTACAGCACATTTCCAAGACGTATGTCGTTTGACATCGTTCTCTTTGCCATTGGTGCCGTAGGCCTGTGGTATACACATACTCTTCCTTGATTGAAACTGAAATAAAGGTGGGGATTGTTGCTGAGATAAAGTTCACTCGTCAGCTTTCCAAATTGTCTAAAGCTCAAATACAAACGCAGTCGAGGACGGTAAGCGACAGTGGACGATGTATGTGTAAATCTGCTAAAAATTACGAAGTAAATCTTAAATACTTATTTCCTCGAAAAAAATTCCAGAAAGGATTAAGCATGATTTAATTCGCAATAATAAATGAAGGCGTTATTTTTGTGTTGCGAAGCTTAGTCTCTCTAGATTGGCAACAAATCTACAATTCTGCTGTTTCAAATGTATGAATATATTTATGTCCGCCATGTTATTTAAAACTTAACCGCACTTAAACAGCTTTTAAATTGTTGATAATTGTACAAATATTGCTTCCAGAATTACGAAAGGCATAAAAACCTTAACCGAAAGATAAAAACAACATAATTCAATCATTTATAAAGCAAAAAATTTACAAACATATAAGAGTAAAGATATTGAGATCACTGAGCCGGGTAACAGAGTGGATATATATATAAATATACATATCCAAAATTATGTTTACATGCATAAATTCACGGATTTCTCAGAGACTATGACTTATAATTTACTGAATTTTCGTGGAATCATACATAACATGATGACACATAAATGCAAAAGAAAAAATTGAAGATCACCTCATATGATATAAAATTGTAGCATGAAACAATAAAAATGGCAATAAAGTGTGACAAAGAGAGTTAAGAAAGAATTCTTTTCTTTTTTCTACAAACAGTTTCTACCACTCGAGAATTTTTTTTTCTAAATTTTAATTTAGTTATGAAGGCTAACTATTGTGACAATAAAAGATGATTAAAACGCGGTAAACTGACAAATAAATATGAGGACTACCGCGTATATAACACAGGAAGCCGAGGTGGGGATCGCTAATTTAGAAAGGTTAAAAAAAAAAAAAACTTGCTAGTGCCATGAACATAAAAAATATGTTGCCGCTAATCCAAAACTTATGGTGAATTATGAATGTGCCACACGAAAACAAATAAAATATTTAATTAATTATTTATTATAGCTTCATTAAGTTATTTATTGGAAAAATCAAGCAACTAAAAAACATGAATATACAACATTGTCTGGCTCAATGCTGAATCATTAGTACATCAGAAAAGAAGATAACAAAGCAATGTTTATCACAAAGAGTAGAAAAATTCTATTTATTTATTTTTTCAGTTTTAATTTTCTCGCTTGGCATAATTTTCGCAAAAATAAAAAAGAAAACTCTTTGCAAATTTAGGCTTTTGTTCCTGTTCAGAGGATAAGAGTTGTTCTTTATAATTAAGTGCTAATAGCTGTGGAAAAGTTTTCGCAGCTAATTAAAAAGGTTAATTACGTTTTTCTTGCCGTTTTGTAGAAGTAAAATAGCGAAAAATGCTCTTAACAATATTTTTGTGTAGGAGAGGTTTTGAAATAAAGTTATTTTTGCTCCATTGTTTTGCACTTTTTGGGTAATTATTAAATTCACTCACTGGAGCAAGAGTATTCAAAATTAAACTCGAAAAGTTGTATCTCTTTCTTTTTCACTGAAAAAATAAATGTAAAGTTTTAAGTACCATGCATTTATATGTTGTCTCAACATTTATTTTTCTCTGATGTACAGTTTACGGAGTATTAATCGTTGAAATAATAAACTTTTTTTTTCATATCACAGGAACAATTCAAATGTTAAATTTGTTTTTACATTAGTTTTTTTTTTATTTTTAATTTGCTTTCCTGTAAATTATTTTATTCAGTTTTTTATTTTCTGTAGCGAGAGAAAAGGCCTTCCAACAATAAAAATGCACGAAACACTACGGTGGTGTGATACTAAAGCCCACACTTTGTTTCATCATACTTATTATCGCATCCAAAAAATGAGATACCAAAGAAATTTCTGCAACCTATATTAATGATAAGAAGTGCGTCTAGATATTTTTCTCAAAAATCAAGCTTAATTTATATCAAAACAGTAATTTAATAAACATGACTTGCAAATGTTTGAAATGATTTAGTCTAGAATTAGCAGGTGGTCATTTATAAAATGTGCATGTTTCCTTAACAAATATACACAAAGAAATATTATAAATTTACTTACTTCTTAACTTTACTACTTACTAATTCTTTTACTTCTGAATTATCTCCGAGTTCAGTGCAGATATACAAATCTTAGAATTAAATGTGTAATGAAAATGATAATGTAATAAATTCTCCGTAAAACAATACTATTTAATTTTGAAACTTCGTATACTTTATTCAAATAAAGAATATTTATTAGCCCAAATTACTCTCGAAACGGGATTTTGCGTCGCCGAGTATAAACAGCTGTTCTCTCTTCAAACAGTTGCCACCAAATATTATTGCCATGTATTATTTTTAAAGATATAGAATAATGAAAAATCTGCATGTTTGTATTTCTCGCACTGTGAGAAACGACAATATCTAAAGGTCATCCAGTTTTGAATAACATAGGTTTCCTTCCGATCATGGGCACCTGAATGCCTGATTTTTGCATTTCGAATTTTATATTTCATATTTTGTGAAACTTAATCAATTTTAGATTAACAAAATGAACGATTTGAAGGCGAGCAGTGGCAACACTGTACGAGATAAAGAACTTTACCACCAGCGTGCGAAATTCATATTGGTTAAATCTTAATCAGCTAAACGCCAATTGTACCTCAGTTCGAAGCGCGCGATAGTGTCTATCGGAAATTCTAAAGATGTTATGTTTTTAATTATTTTGTAATTTTGGTATTGAATTGAGTTTTATGTTACAAAGTGCTAAGAATATAATAATGTTACACACAACAAATAAAGTTAAATAACAAAACGTTAAAAGTAAAAAGACAAAAAAAAAAAAAAAGTTTTGCTGGTCACCTTACTAAGTAAAGAGAAAATTATTAACCGAGAAGAGACTGAAAAAAGTAGGCCCACCAGCGGCCGAGCGGTAAAGACGCTGAACACTGGTAGTTCGGTCAGAGGTTCGAATCCCGCGAACGGGCTAGCTGCATGGGCATTTTCGTGGTTTTCCCCATGTGTAACGTGTATACGAGCCAGTTTCCCTTAGAAATTCCTCTACGGAGGCATACCTCCCTTTAGGTAAGATAGCCCTTGTGTGCTTTGCCATAATTAAATAATCCAAGCCAAATACTGAAAAAAGTAAAGAATGTATCCTAACACTTCCACACCGCATCGCGAGTTCTAAACATATGCTGTTACGCTACTGTTAATTTTTTCGTAATTTTGTTGTTGAATTGTATGCGGCGTAAGTGCGAAAAAAAATTGTGTCTAATAATAAAGCTAAAAAGACAAAAAAAGTCGGTTAGCAGCAGTGAGTGCAACAGCGGTTTAGTAGACTGCGAGCTCAGCAAGAGTACATAATACTTAACAAATCCTTTAGGGCGATCGTTAACTCTTCCTTAGAGTATGTTTTCTGGTGTTTTGGCTTAAACTGATATTTCTTCTTAGAGATCTGCATCTACTTTTTATATATTCTACTCACGATGTCTACACAGTCCGATCTTTAAGTCACTCAGATATCTTCTCATATATGTGTAGTAGACTATTGCACCTCTGTAATTTAGTTCCCTCATGGAACCATGAGGGAGCGAAATGAGATCAGAATCAACACTCATTGTAGGCAAACGTGGATGTTAGTTCTAGGATCTTGAAAAATATGAGTAACAGCAGTAAAACTGTGAATTATGTTATTTTACAGCATTAAAATTGAAACTATAGTTTGAAGAAACAGTGTCTGTAAACAGAATGTTGTAAATTCTAAGTTTTCGAAATTCGATTTCTGCTTGCGCATAAAATTTTGACATGACACACCTTCTGAACATAAAATTAAGGCGACAACATATTAACATTATATTTGTTAAGCCAACAAGCATTAAAGAATCTGGACAGGTGTTTTTGCGACTTGCTGCTGCTCTATAATTCTGAAAAGTCATTAGGATTTTAAGTAGAAAACACGAAAAATGTGCAATCCCCGCGCCGGGACTCGAACCTGGACCTCTCGAATTCGCGCCGATTGCTCTACTGTTACACCACGAAGGCATGGAGAAAACACCTTGCAACTCAAAGCTTGAATCGTCAGTGATACTAATCAACAGTTCAAAGAAATTAATAATATTACAACTTATTTTTGAACAGACTCGCTGCAGAAAATGCATGCATGTCCAATGAGTTGTTGAGAATGCTCTTCTGATGACTTCAAACTATATGTTGAAGCCTTGAAGCAGATGGTAAACACGTTGTATTTTAGAAAGTTGGCGTTTAAGGCTATTTGTCACTAAAATCCAGTTTGATTAAATGTCGATTCCTGATGTTCCTGATGTTAAATGTCGATTCCTTTAACTGATATTTTAGAATTTTCATAATCTAAGTTTACCTGCTACTGGCACAGTTTCTCTGAGAGTAGAACTAATTTCCATTTTTTGCAGTTGGGGGATTTTGTAAATCGTATCTGTAACGCAAGAGCACTTTGCTATACTTAAGCCTCATTTACTTAGCTCTAGTTGTCCTGAATATGGTTTTAGAGAGACAACATTTTTAGTGAGTTTTTTCTATAAATAGAAACGTTCTTGAGTAACCAGCAGCTCTTGAGATATCAGCTTATGCAAATATTACCTTTCATCAATATAAATATTGATTCCTGCAAATTGTGCTCAAAACTTCGCAACATTTTGTCTGCATTTTTCTGATAGAGATAATTCCCAAATTGTACGGTTTGTCTGGTTTCGACAATCTTACATGGTATCGCAAAGAGCACTTAGCGTATACGAGCACTCATTTGCAAAGTTTTAGTTTAATCATTTTTAAAGGAACTGTACTTTTAGTCAGCATATTTGATAGAAGATTTATCGAAATGGAAATGCTATTGAATAAGTAACAGCTCTTGGCTGTTTACCGAAATATTACATTTTATTGAAAGGAAAATTAAACACTTTCAATTATATAGAAACAATTTATAAGCAAATGCCAGTTACATTTGTACTGGTTCTTGAAGTAAATTTTAATGCAATTATTTTAACATATAATATCTTTATCTATTCTGAACATTTTAGTGAATAGTTTCGCATTTTTAACAAAAGCAAACAATTTCCGAACGTGAGTTTGCTATTTTATTTTGCTTTGCACATAACGTTTACGAAACTAATGCAAATTCAAATTAAGCAAGATTTAAATTTAATGAACTATCTGTTTCGATAACAAATGTCGCACTTTAATTTCTGCATTTTACTCACGAACATGTTTGATAAACAAATTTCTCATCTTATTCAAAATGCATTATTAATTATCTTGGAATATGGAATGGTATAATTCCTTAAATGCTCGAAGATAATGGTTTATTTATCATTATATCTCGAACATTAGTTAGAAATATCACGTAAAAGTAATGAAGAATAATTTAGAAAATCCTATGAACTTTTAATCCTCTTAAATCCATTAATTTAGATGCTATATATTTAAATGGTTATCATTCCACTGAAAGTTTTTGGAAAATTAGAATTAAATTTAATTCCAGTACATTTATGTCGACATCAGAAATTTATTTTTCTTTGGTCATTAACAAATGGAAATTAAGAGAATTTAGAAGGCCAAAAATTCCATAACACAATGGAAATTTTACATAATGGAATTAACAAAGTGAAACCTTTCATCCCGATCCATTCTGTAAGACAAGCACCTCCAAAAATAACTAGTATATCCAAGAACGTAACTAAAATTCAGTACTAAGCATTATCGACATTCCAGTTTTTTTAATGAGACGCTTTAAAAGAAAAACAAAATTGTCTAGACTTATTTATATTCTTCTCAAGGATGTTCCACAACATATAAAAGCAGCATTTTTTGATTTCTTGGATTTGGAGTGTTGTTGTCGATCACTCCAAATTCACCTACCTGTAGAACGCAACGGTATGTTTGAATATAACATTATTAATAAAACCTTTGGAGCTACGTCATTAGTGCTAGGATTGAAAAAATCGCTAATAATAAGGCTTGTTGCAAAACAACTGACCGAAAAAAATGTTGAAGGCCATTTCTTTTCTTTTTCATAAAACATTAAGTTATAAAATTAAACAGCCTTTGTAAAAAAAAAAAAAAAAAAAAAAAAAAAAATCTAGAACATTTTAACCCTATTCTGGGCATTCAACAACTGTGTCAAACTGACATGAACAATCACAGCTCGTTTTTATGTGAAATATTTTATCAGTGGCAAAAATGCATACAGTGATGTAGGGAATGAATTTTTGAAATAAAGTTTTCGAAAAATCTTTCTGTTAAATTTTATGAAATGAAAATTTTGCAGAAGCTTTCAAATCTGCATAAATACCTTGTAGCTATTGCTTGGTAGGGAAAAAAATGTTAAGAAGCAAACTGAGAATATAAAATTTTTTATAATGGTGGCTTCGAAGATATGTAAGACTAGTTTTAGAAAAATGTAACAAAAAGCATACATATCTACTTCTGAGAGAAAAAGTATACAATATGGTAATAATACATTTATTTAAATCCTGGCGGCTGATTTCAGGTATAATTTATGTGTTATTATTAGGATGCAGAGTGACATGTTAATATTATTTACGTTTGCTACGCAGTAAAATCTAATATAATTTGTTGCCTTCGAAATGTGTCCAAAACTCAAAACCGAATATGACGTAATGAATGTGCCAATAAAAATTTCCTTTTTTTAAGGATACTGGCTTAATAAACGTTTATAAAATTATTAAGAATTTTCTTCTTTAATAACTCTCAGTTTGCTCAGAAATGGCAAATAGCCAGATTTTACGAAGTCCGTCAGTGCTAACATGCTTTGCTCAATGAATATATTACATTCGTTAGCTATGCAAGAAAAAACAATGCATGTTATGTCAGAAAAAGCAGTGCAACTTATATCTGACATTTCTGAATGACCATGAATAATGTGACTAATAAACATAAACCTATATGTTTCAGTCATATAATTTTATTTGCTATTTCTGTAACCTGCTTGAGAGTGATGTTTTCATGTTTCAGTTGCTTTTATATAATATATCCGTGATATCAGGCAAGAAAGAATGCTGAGAGCATGTGCATAGTTGTAAGAACCGAGGCGAAACCTGAGAAAAAGATGTTCCAACTTATTTACAGTTTCTTATGATATTTAGCGCTTTTTTTTATCTGAGAATTTAAGCATTTGACAGACAGGAATGTGCTCACGTGTATCAGACAGTATCTTACTGTTGCGTTTTTCTAAGACTGAGATATATAAACTACGTAGAACCACAAACCTATATACAGTACACTGTTGTTAAAGCAGGAAATTAAAAATGACCATATCATATATATTATATAGAACTAACACCTAAAATGTACATAACTAAGGACATGGTGTTTCAGCACTAATTTAAAATACGTGAACCGTATTTATAATGGTTCAAATATTTGAAACTAATATTCAAAAATAAATATTAAATGAATATTATAATGCACAGTCTTAGTCCGAACGGAACTGTACGAAAAACAAAATTTCCCAAAGCATTTAAAAGTTTCATATCATAATCTTACGAGATAGCTTACCACGCAGTAAGCTTCACAATGTAGCTACGGTAAAATGTGTTATAAAATGTATCTAGTATAGTAATAAAGTAGTCAAGAGCTATCTTGGTAAAGTAATATTAAAAACTAAATATGATGGAAATTAAACTATTTAGATTCTGTAGAATTCTTCCAGCCGCACACAATCCCTTTCTGTGCTAAAGAACGAAATGCAGTAGAATGCTAATAGCACTAACAATTGGCATAGTTTTTCTCCTAATAAAGTACACATCGTAAAAAACAATTTTGTGTAAGCTGAGGGTGGATTGTTTGTAAGAACTGTTGTCTGTATGCATCTATGACCATTTCATTTCACAATCAACTTGAGCTGGACTGGTAAGTAAGTATCTCAGACGAGGACAAGAAAAATGAAATTAAGTACTCATTGCGAAGATATCTACCACCAAAAACAGCCTTGAGAGTTTTTTTAAGATTTTTCATATGAAGAGCTGGGGAATGATACACTGACTACCAATAAGTATTTGGACACCTATGCAAGTGACGATATCTGCGGTCCTAAGTTACGTCACGGACTCCGCCGTTATATATCGTGAAGGAAACAGCATCGGCTTTAGTCGCATGCAAGATGCGTCGCAGTTCGGAGCTCTTATGTGTTTATTTTCATCCAAATAATAGCTTACAAAATTTGTCATATTAATAGATATTGCATAATTTAGCATTATTATAAATATTTATTAAGCAGATTTAGCTGAAACTTTTTTAGTCTCTTTGCAGAAAGTCACAAAGGTAAGTGGTTAGATATTTTTTCTGTATTCCCCATTAAGTAATTTTATCTGGTAATTACCATTACTTATATACTAAAGGTGAAAGAATAAGCTTCCTTGAAGATACAAAAATTTTTAGACATTTAAAAAAATTGGTATACGTAGAAAATTCTCAAACTGCCACATATGCGAAACTGAAAATGTTATTTATGAAATATTTCATAAATATAAATATTTTCACTATTTGTTAACTATGATTCACCGCATTTTTATATATAAGTCACAGATTCAGGTAGCAGTGCTTTTCTCACTGTGATTTCTCACGTATTTTGAGTCATAAATACACGTATTTTAATTTCTCTTTCGAGACCGAATAAAAATGAACTAAACATTCTCGTTCATATAAACACACGTATAAACACGTACATAAATCCACGTATTTTGATTTCTCTACTGAGACCGAATAAAAAATGAACTAAACATTCTCGTTGACAATGAGAGTTGAATAACAGCTCATCTCAAAATAAAATGAATAATAAATTTATGGAAAATTTTACATGCATATATTGAGCAGAGAGAGTAAACTGAATATACTTAATGGAATTAATAATTGGTAGAGTGTGATAGCAGAATAAAATGCCTTAATTGCATGGTAAACAGTAGGTCTTTTGAAGTTTTATGTTGTGTAAAATGCAGATTTAAATTTTTGATATTGATTGTCATATAAATGGCAATTACTGTTTTATTTGCTCTGAAATGAATGGTTGTAATAAAATTGTGGATGAGACAACCTTTAACATGCGTAGATTTACAAAGTTTAATTTGGTGTGATTTCAACGGGTGGGTAAATTTCATTTTACTGAATTTTGCGTAAAATAATACCAAGGAACCATTGCAAATTATTTTCAGAACTTTTTTTTTTTAATCTAAAAGGGCTATTAGTTTTGAAATGTGACTTCATATCGTCAGTCGTAAACTTGTTTCGCTTTTCATTCAAGTCTTGCCATTTGGCAAAATTTAACATATTTACCTTTAAAATTAATATATTATGATAAAGCCAAGCTATTTAAAAGCATACACACAGTTCTTTAAAAAGAGTAACAATGCTTTTTTTAATTTTAATCTGATTGATTTAAAATGCATTTAATCATGATATATCTAATGAAAACATTTTAATATTTCTACATAATTGCATGATATATTCTTCATTTTCAAATATATAGAAGGTATAACTTTCTGGTGTCAGTATCTTATAAAATGTTTGCTATTTCCACTGCCCCAATCTGTATTGATAATCTATGCATTCATCAACTTTTAGCCTTCTTTGAGTGACTGCTAAAATCTGAGGCCTTCTCAGATTTTTTTTTTAATTGTGTGAGCAGAAAGATATTATTTTAGAAGAGCTTCTTGAGTTACCTTTTGAATGATGCAAAGAATTGTTAACATAATGTCACACTTTTACAACTAAATATTAAATATGTAAAAAATCCTACAGCATTATCATGTTACAAAAACATATTTATTTATTCTGAGGCTAGGAATTGATTTAGTTTAAAATACAACTTATTCCTTTTAAAATTGCCCACCACAATTTATTCCTTCCCCGCGAACGGGCTTAATGGGCCGTTTCGTGGTTTGTCCAATGTGTAAATCAGTTTCCCTTAGAAAGTCCTCTCTTACAATGCTTTCATACACACCCAACGTCATCAAAACACTATAAATTCCTAAAAACACGCTTTAAAGAAAGATGATTCATTTATGTAAAAATTATTAAATGGCTAATTTTATTACTGAATTTTTAATACAAATTAACTGAAATTAGAAACTGATTTTGTAAAATAATTTAATTATGAATAATTCAATTTGGGGGCTATTGGATGTTTAAAAATGATCAAAAGATTTTTAATATCTTAAAATAAAAGCAAAATTTTCAGTTTTAATATTTGTTATTAATAATCATTTTAATTTCCTTGCTCAGTTTTAATATATTCACAAATTCAGATTTAAAAACAAAATAAGTTGTATAAATATTTTCAACATTTCTGATTTTTCCATAGTAACCATAGGAGAACGATTTGAGGACTATCTGTGTAAAAAAAAAAGTAGGTTTTAGATCATCACACCTTCACATACTTTCACTGGAATTTTTCTCTGTATATATACTGGGATGTGACACTAAGCAGTTGAGATATGTATTTAAGAGGTTAAAGGGATATTGTAACTAGTGTTTCAAATCCTGATAGCATCCCATACGCTGTCGGTGGGACGTAGATAGGATGTCCTAAGGTATACTGGGATGTGACATTAAGCGTCAGGAGGATGAGTTTAGGAGGAAATTGGGATATTACAGGATGTCCTGAGGATGTAGTAAGTAGGACTTTAAATCCTAATAACATCCCATATGCTGTCAATGGGACATAGATAGGATGTTGTTAGGATATAATGGGATGTGCTTAGGAGGTTTGCGGGATGTCCTGAGGATGTAGTAAGTAGGAGTTCATATCCTAATAACATCCCACACGCTGTCGATGGGACTTGGTTAGGATGTCCTGAGGATATCCCGGGATGTGACATTAAGCACTCGGGAGGAGGTGTTTAGGAGGTTCGCGGGAT